AAAAAAAAAAAACTAACATGCATTCCCTCAATGACTTTTACTCGTAGGCTGCTTCCGAGCTTCTTCTCGCATTACTGCTTTGACATATATTTCATAGCAGCAGCCTGAAACAAACATTTAATAATCAGAATTAATATGCTATTAAAGCTTGTATAATATTTGAGCAGCAATCTATCACTCTACTCAGTGAGGTTCAGTTAAATGATCAATTCTGATTATTAGCACTGATTGTAAATATCACCTGTATGAAATTCATAAGATAAACTTCCTCATGTAGTTGCATATGAGAATTCAAAGCTACCAGTTTGGAGGATCCCCGTTCTTGAAAACATTCCAAGTAGGCAGCCAAAAAAAAAAAAAAAGAAAGAAAATAAAATGAAGCCACAAATTGTGTCACATCCCTATGGACTATGGATCCTCCCCCCATCCAAAAATAAATAAATGCATTCATAGAACTATTACCATGCATACTGATACAAAAATTTCACGTGGTGTCCCACAGGCTGCAATGCATTGAATTTCGAAAATTGCCAGGTTAAAATACACTAAAGAAGTCTCTCAGGCTACACGTTTATTTGAAGCATATAAAGGCTAGCATCTGAAGTCTCAACCAAGTAAAGGTGACACTCAACTTCTTACAAAGCCAATTACATTGCAAACATTTTCACAATTGTAGCAGCCAGAATTAAACTAATGAACCACCTCGCACCTGGGCTCTCAGCCCAATTGGTGTATCCTACCGGGCTAAACAATTGAGTTCACATCCCCCATCCCCACTAATTGTAACCTGTTCAAAAAAGGAAAAAAAAAAAAAAACACTAATGAACCAATCCAATTCATTTAACATGTAAAAAGGACCACAGCATACCTGCTACAACAACAATTGTAAGAACATCTCCAATTCGTTTAATTGTCTTCACACCCTTCTTATGTGATTTGAATCGACTTAAAGCTGGATCAGCTGCCAAGAGCTGGATTGAATCCAATTCAACATAGAATTAAGCATAGAACAAGCTAACAAGCATTATTTGGATGCTCTTACATCTAAGTCATGAAAAGGAAGCAAGAACCTAAATTAGGTAAACTAATAGGCAGAACAAAGTGTTTAACTTTACGATACACTTTAGAATAAGCATCTTTCTACTGTTCAGTTCATGTATTAAAATGGGCTCAACTCCTTAAAAAGCATAAATTCGGAGCAACTAATGGCCATTGGGGAACGATTTGAGCAAACCCAGATACTAAAAATCTAAATCTCCAATCAAAGCAAATCAAAACGCTATTTGAGAATCTATACACATTTTGAGTATAAGCAACAGAAAAATCAAAAAGCCAATCAAAACCCTAATGGAATATCTATACACATTTTCATCCAGAAATGAATTGACTAGACAAGCAAAAAGATGAGTTGGCAAAAAATAAAAATGCAGAAAGAGAAGACTTACAGCTTTCTCGCGCGACCCGGGTTCCACGTGCAATCCACGACGCGAAAGAGCAAGTGCATCGCCAGCCTTTTGGTTTTGCCGGTGAATCAATTATAGAGAGAGAGAGAGAGAGGAATGGCGTTAGAGCCACTGACAAACCAAACGACAACACAACAAAATCAAAATTTCTGATATACATATCTCCGTACCTGAGAGTGAGATCGGAAATGAGAGATGAGATTGGTTTTGTTCAGTAAGAAGGCCATTTTTCCGGTGAAATATTTGGAACCTCGACTCGGGGAGAAAGTCTGGGGATACAGCAGACGTGGTATCCCAACCCAATGGGAAAACACCACATCAGTTGTTTTTTGGGTTTGGGATTGATGAAGTCTGAAAAAATTGTTGATGTGGTGTTTTCCCATTGGGTTGGGATACCACGTTGCTGTATCCGGGGATACAGCAGACTTTTTCCGACTGGGGAGATCAGATCAGAATGAAGAAGACTGAAGAGCAGTGCCCAGGTGCGTAGTCAACCTAAAATTTAGACCTGGCAAAATGGTCGGGTTGTGCGGTTCCAATTGGGTCACCGGATGGATCTCGAGTTTAAAGGTTGAGTCTGGGGATTTTTCTCTTTCATTCCATTTCCACCCCATCCTTTCAGTTCATTTGAATTTTATTCGATTCTTTTTCAAGCGTACCAAGTACCATGATGTCTTCCATATTTTCATGCGTACTCTGATACTTTTTCGGTAGAAACTCTTTTGAACCCCTAAATTTATCTCAAAATAACATTTAAGTCTTTAAATTAAAAATGAAACAAATAAAACCTTCAACTTCACAATGATGCGAATATGCCTTTCTCATTTAAGGGTGTTCATGCTTTTAAGGTGATATTAAATATTAAATACCATTTGGCATGTTTGTGAAAAAAGGTTTTTTATATCATTAGTGGAGTTGGAGGGTGTATTTGCTTTATTTTTAATTTAGGAGCTTAAATCTTATTTTAGGATAAATTTGGAGGCTTAAGTGGGGTTTTTGTCTACATTTTCATATTATCATTATGCTCCTCTTTGCTAGTGGTACGCACGAAAGAATTTTGCTTAATCAAAATTTTAGTTAACATCTTCAAAACCAAAATGGAATTGAGTTGTAATTCGGAATTTTGGTTTGGTTACTAAATTTTTACATTTCTATTTGATTTTTATTGAATTTCTGAAATTAAAGAAAATTTTAAATTACATTTCGTTTTTTTGTAATAAAAAGATTGATTAAATTCAACTTTTTATTTATTTAAATTGAAATTTTATATTAGTTTGGTTAAATTGGTGGCTTTTTGGTTTCTAAGAATCATAACCACATTTATAGAACCAAAATTTTGATTTGAATAATAGATCTTTTTTCCTTCTAAGATTTATCTCATAATAATAATTATTTTTTTTATATTTTAAGAAAAACATATATTTTTTTCTTATTTAACCTTATGGTTATTTTTTATTTAAGTTATTTATTCTATCATAAAAAATATTTTATTTTATTTATTTATTTAAGAATAAAATAAGTAGAATTAGAATTTATTGTCATATCCTTAATTCTAAGGTAAAAATAAACAAAATATCTATTATTTTGAGATAGAAGAAGAAATGGGTTACAGAAAATTTAATTAATGCTTGCCCAAAATGAAAAGGATCAAAGACAATCACCATTCAAGGGGATAATCCAACTTTTGTGAAGGCTTATGAACGGATGGATTTATTAAACAAAATAATAAGAGAAAAAAAAAATACAAATTGATGTTGACTTTTAAAAAAATTAAAATATTACTTTTAAATTATATCGTTTTACTTAATTAAAATTTAATTTAAAATTTAAAAATTTATCTTATTAAATA